CGCGCTGCTGCTGGACAGGCTGTGACCCCTCGCACAGCAGCGGTGCAGCGCCCGACGCAAGCTGCGCATTCCCTGCGCACCAAGGGGAGAGGAATGTTTACGATCTGCGCCTGTTCCCACTGCCCCCGGGGACGTGGGACCACTCGTGGGTCACGGCGAGGCAGAACAGCACCGAGGGCTCTCCCGGAGAGGTCTTCTGAGTGGGGCCTGGGGAACGGCCCGCAGGGGCAGAAGGGCAGCGACCCGAGTCTGGAAACTGCCGCCGGTTGCGCGCGAGCTTGTGCCCCGGGCCATTAGCCTAGCGTTGTGAGCGTTTAATCTCCCTGATGTTCTCTTCCTTGCTGGGCGCACACAGTTACGCACTGAGGCTCTGATCGGCAGAAGTGGCAGGGATCCTTGGCTCCAGCCATTGACAACTGAAGTGCTCGACGTGTTAGCAACTGGAAGTTAGACTGCCAAAACTTAAAACACCCAAAACAATGTTTTTAACAATGTTTCTTCTGCAGGTCTTCAGAAGACAAATAACTAGGTGTGGCCAGTCTACTGGGAATACTGTGAAGCAAAACTCATTACTGTTTATAATGCATTTATGAGTTATCCATTGGAAGTACCATTTTATTCTATGCTTTTTAACACTGAGGCAATCAGGTACTGGAAGAGGCTACCCAAGTATATGTAAATTATTCATCACATGGACTTTTTGTATCAAGATGTTTTCCAACGATCCAGTTCAACTACAAGCTAGACAGCCATAGCCCCACTGATGGTACAGGGAACCCTGATGGCAGGGTGTTTTGCTGCTGCCTTTGGTCTTACTACAGCACCTGCACTTGTCCCTAAAATAGCTCATGAGTCAGATTTTCAAAAAAGCTCAGCGTGTTTGTGGGCACTAACATTTAGGCCAGTTTTCTAAGAGCTCTGCATACTGTGTGTGCATACAATGTAAAAAGCTTTTCTGAAAAAGATCTAGTCCTTCTCCAGCTGATCAAACAAGAATCCAGATTCTCCTGCCTTTAAATGCAATCCTTTGCGAGGGGCTGTGTTCAAACACTCTTACTGTGAGTGGGTCTTCACTGCCTTGCTCATCGGGGAAATATGGCTGGCTTCACGAATCATTTTCATTGCAGTTTCTCTGGCATTTCACAATTGCAAAGAGCCCTTTGGGCTTCTCTGCCTTCTGTGATACCCTGTTCTTGGCAGTGCTGTGGTGTGGGAAGAAGGCTGAGGGCAGGTAAGTGCGAGAGGCCACGGGGCGATGAGTCGGTACTGGGGAGAGGATCCAGATGTCCAGTCCTGGCTTTATCCAAAGCCTGAGAGCTTGCACAATTATTGGAAATGACCTTCCCTGTTTTTGAGTATATTCACTCTGAACTTGTGACATTAGTGGAAAGTTAAAAGTGTTAATAAGAATGAATCCAGTTCAAAGGGAAGATATATGCATTTTTCTGAAGATTCGTGGGGGTTGATGCAAGCATGACATTAACTTGCATCTACCCAATCTAAGCCCATTCTGTCAGTAAGATTGCGAAGATGAGTGTCATATCTTTTGCATCTCAATGTAAATTATTTTTGCTTTAAATAATTTAAAATATATAAAAGACATATCTATTTCCTGTCCAAAGAAGAACATTTTTGTATCCAGTATCAGTATTCAGGTGCACACAAAGCCAGTCAAAAGCATGGAAGAGAAAGGTGAGGCTCCACATTTAATTCTCTGAATCTTCAGTTACATAATTTTGTATTCCATTATCTAAGATGTACTGTAATATCCGTCATACATTTTCATTAATCTTATACAGAACATGTTTAACCGCTTGCAATTTTCCTTCATTCTGCTGCTTTTTATGATTTCCCATTAGCATGCTTATTCACTATCTTTATTACACTTACGCAGTTAGTATTCCTCTCTCTTGTGAGTGGGCTGAATCACCCATAAGTAATCCTATACACTACATCAATGGGGATCTAGCTCCAAGTACATTAATAGGAAGGAGTTGAGATGTCATCTTGAAGACCTACCCTCTGTAGAGGAAGGATGAAGTGTAATTTTAACGAAGGCTGTCCCAGGCTGTCTTCTTCTGTTCAAAAAAAGTCTGCACCACTGCATGGCTCTGACCTGTTCCCCTGCTACCTTTCCCCTCACCACATATACAGTCCTGCCTCAGACAACCTGGAGGATATCTAGGAAGACCTCTAAGCATAATCGCCCTTCTGTCTGCCTCTTGATTTGGAAAGAAGGCGGCAGTAAGCCGTTTCAGTATGTGTTTCCACTGGCACCCAGGTCTGGACTCATCAGTTGGTCCCAGCTCATCTGCTCGTGCAGCAAGTGTTTCTTGTTCTTCCTCACTGTGTCACCAATACATAGTGGTAACTTAGTCCATAAAAAATATCCAACTATGAAAAATTTGATACCAGTAGTTACAATGCATTTTAGCTCCAACTCACTGTGAGGCAAATCAGTGTGCTGTTGGAGGAACCTAGGTGTCCAGGCTGCCCTTAGTGACACGGTACTTACCTGTACTGCAAGTAAGGGCTATGTAGCACTTAACGATGAAGGTCACTTACCCAGCAGCCAGTCCGGAGAGGTTACATATATTGGCAGGTTTTCACTGTTGTCTGTGAAAGAAATGGTAGCTTCGACCAGTCAGCTCTGACTCTGTCTATGTATTAGCATGAAACACTTCAAGGCCTCCTCCATATGTTTATCTAGCAATAAGAAAAAAGTAAAATAGTTTGGAAAGGTAGCAACTTTAGAAGGAAAATACCCTCATGTATTTAAAAACAACAGCCCAAAAATCTGAGTTACTCCACTCACTGGCAGTTTTCAGTAGTGAGGAGCTAGCTCCTGAGGCACACCTTCTCAGGGCTCATAGAAGACATAAGGAGCTTTTTTAAACATTTTTTGATAACTCTGTTCTCTCTTCTGACTGTTGTGAAGCTGATGGCTCTCTTTATTTCTCTGGAGAAGAAAAGAAGACAAAAAATTACGATCTCTGGTAATTTGCATCATTACATTTCTAGTCTCCATGGAAACCTATGTGGTGCTCCACAGTCGGGTAACGTTTCAATATGTTGCAGCAGAAATTGGATGGAGGGAAGACTGGATTCTGCACCTTGCCTATTAATCAATTAAAAATGGTTTCGAAATTATTTTCACATTGTGTTGCAATCTTCACTTAGACTAACAATGGAAGAAATCAAAGTAATCAAATTAAGGTATTCTGATATGATAAGGTATTATGTGTTTATTATATTTATTATATATTATTTTATTATGATAAGGTATTATATATTTATGTTCATATATACACCAATGCACATAACTGCCACTCAGTTTGATTCTGATAAGCACTGACAGGCATTTGGAAGAATTCTTTGGTTTTGGTAGGATTATATGGATTAATACTCTGGAAACTGAAAGCATAATAGCAAACTGTTTGTCAAGTTGACTCTAATAAAAAGCTTGCCAGAGAGGTAGTAACAATCCCATTGTTGTAATTTATGTAAGCAAAGCATTCTGAAAATCAAGAACCTTAAATCTTTATCTTTCTCTATCTTCACTGTTGTTCTTCCACTGCTAAGGAAGAAATACATCTCAAAACTGGTTTCCTCTGAAAAGATATGGTAATTTCATCTACCTGCCTCTTCAGGATTTCTTTTTTTTATTCCAAGCTTTAGCAACTTGAACACAAAGGCACATAATCTTACTGGCACAGCAGAGGGTGATACAGAGAAGGAATATACAGAGAGACACCAGTCTTTTTTTGTGACCACAGTCAGCCCATGAAGAGTGAGTGCTCTCAGCCACCTACAAGTAAGTAAAATATAAAGTAATGGAAATAATTCAGCCTGTCAACCCATAAATACTCCAGCATAGGCAGCCATGACAATAAAGTACACAAATGCATTAATTAGGGAATTTTCTAAGCATTTTACATTCAAACAATGAAAACCCAGTATTTGCTTTACAACTGCACTAAACCACCATAGTGAAATATAGTTGTGATTTATGCTATTCACTATAACCAAACTACAAAATCTGATTATTTTGTATGTATTTTGAAGGTATTTACTGCATTTGTTTCAGAATACTGTGGAGAAAATGTATGCTAGTCGAGAGGATATTGGGTATGATTTTGGAGATGACTCGAAAGTTGGAAGTAAGCCAATTAAGCCTAATCCAAACATCGATGGAGGATGGGCTTGGATGATTGTACTTTCCTCCTTCCTTGTGCACATACTTATCATGGGGTCCCAAATGGCCCTTGGAATACTCAACATGGAATGGCTTGAAGAGTTTAATCAAAGTCGTGGCTTAACAGCGTGGGTTAGCTCCCTTAGCATGGGCATTACACTTATTGTAGGTATGTTCCAGCATAATTTATTTCAAAACCACATAGATTTGTTTGCTACTCATCCCTCAAAGTATTTTCTTACAGTTTTCCAATTTGTTATGAGAGCTGCCCAACTTCTCCTGAGTTGCCTTTTTGAAGTCACCAGGACAAATTTTACAAGTTAGAGGGAGACAGGGCACAACAGGGAAGATGATAGGGAAAACAATTAGATGGGGTGACAGCATGAGCAGGAAAGGATGCCTGTGACTTGAGGGCCTCACTGGAATCAAGAAAACAGATCATCTGTGAAGCTTGTGGTCCTCCCTGTACTCTGTCTGGGAGGAGAAATTGTTGAATTTGGACAGTTTGTATTTCAGTTTGGCAGCTGAGCTAAAATTTATTTTTTAAGCTGGGGTTTTATCAACCCCAGATAATACCTGGAGGGCTCTGTTTGTGTATATGTGTATACACACATCTCTGTCTCCCTAAATTAAGATTGAAAAAGTTGTGTTTAGGTCTGCCTAAAATATTCCACTGGAAACAAAATGTTTATTTTCTAGTTATTTGTGAAAAAGGCCTGCACTCATACAGCATTAGTATTGGGAACAACAGTTTCAGTTTCTTCTTCGGTTTGAACTGTTCCTTCTTCACAGAGTAACTTTGATTTTAGGTCCTACTGGTATTTGCTAAGTAGTTGGTTGGTTGGTTGGTTGAATTTTTCTTTCCACAATTTTAAACATTAATAGGGAAAATAAACTGAACTGCATGAGTAGCCCTATGTTTAACATTTTGCTTAAAACATTAAAAATCTTTGTGTGAAAAAATATAAAGTGTAGAGAATTAAATAAAAAATACAGCATTTTTTCATGTTCTTTAACAGGTCCTTTCATTGGTTTATTCATCAGCATGTGTGGGTGCCGCAAGACAGCTATAATTGGAGGGATATTGAATGCCCTAGGTTGGATACTGAGTGCCTATGCCTCAGATGTGCACTACCTCTTCCTTACGTTTGGAGTGACAGCCGGTAAGAGCTGTACTAACATTTGAAAGTTCTTTCAATTATTTTTTATTCCTTTGGAGGTTATCTGAGTGAGTAAAGAGGGAAGTTAGACTGCAGAGTTATTCCAGCTTTTCTTTCACACTCTTCACGGCCTGTAATCTTTTCAGAAATCTTCTCTATTTACTCAATGGATTGGGCCTAATGACTTTTGTTGTCATTTAAATCTGCCATGTGAAGATGGCAATTTTATCAGTTTCTCCCAACTGGATATATCAGATGGCATTTTTGATTAGAATAATTAATATAACCAAAACTCTAACAAGTGGAATTTAAAGATGGTATAATACTGATGAAATGTATACCTAGCTAACTCCTCTGTTACAGGAAGAAACAGCAAATGTTTTCTACAGGAGCTGCTCCACATTGATAAAATACCAGATTATGATAACTATGTGCTGCTTCAAAACCCTTTTTAAAGGTTGTTGTCAGTTAACTCTGGTAGGCAACTAAGCTTCCCAGAGCTGCTCACTCACTCTCCTGCAGTGGGGTGGGGAAGAGAATCAGAAGGGTAAAAGTGAGATAAAGACAGTTTAATAGGTGGAGCAGAAGCTGTGCACGCAAGCAAAGCAAAATAAGGAATTCATTCATTACTTCCCATGGGCAGGCAAATGTTCAGCCATTTCCAGTAAAGCGGGGCTTCACCGTTACTTAACTACGTAACAGTTACTACTTCACAGCAGTAGCTGTTACTTGGGAAGACAAATGCCCTAAGTCTGAATGTACCCCTTTCCTCCTCCTCTCCCCAGTTTTGCTGCTGAGCATGACATCAAATGGTATGGGATATCCCTTAGGTCAGTTGGGGTCAGCTGTCCCACTGTATCCCCTCCCAGCTTCTTGTGCACCCCCAGCCCACTTGCTGGCCGGGCCACCTGGGAAACAGAAAAGGCCTTGATGCTGTGTAAGTACTGACCAGCAACAGCTACAACATCCCTGTGTTGTCAACAGTGTTTGGGTCACAAATCCCAAACATAGCACCACACGAGCTACTATGAAGAAAATTAACTCTATCCTCAGCCCGAATTAGGACAATGCATGTGGCCGTCTTTCATATGTAGTTTCTAATAAAGGTTATTCAGATTACATCAACAACCACTAGTAAATAGCAACTAATTCTGCTACATGTTTTTACAATGAAAATCACTGAAAGAAGTAGTATTTTGTCATTTTTATTGGAATTAGGTCTCTAGAAAACCTTTGTTTGTGTAAGAACCCAATCAAAATATGAAAAGGCATGTGTGTTTAGGCGTCTTTCTTGAAAACTAACAGATCCTTAGGGCCTGAATGCTCAGTTTCTAGCAAAATGTGGCTGCTTCTGAAAAAAAATTAGTTACTTTAAGAAAGTTATGTAGAAGAACCCAGTGTTACCTAGTTAAAGTACTACTCCATTTTATTAACCGTTCATTTCTGGAAGGAGATACTGTCAATAGATATGAAACAAAAATGTTAAAGTGATCCAAGTAAGAAATACAGAATTTGGCCTTTAATTATTATCTGAGCAACACTGAGCAATTCAAGGGACTTTGAAATATTATTCACTCCACAGACAACATGGCCAGTTATGTTTGCAAATGAAGCATGGTACCTATGTTTTGTCTGTGACAGACGGAGGTGTTATGAAAAAAATTGTTTGCAATGTTAATAATAGCTTCAGTACCCTCCATTCCCTCAAATTACCCTTTCACAGAATTTCATAGAGATCTGCAGAATTTCTGTACATAATTTTTTATCTAGCTTTCTGGATGGAAAAAAGTTGAAACTAGCAAGGATCACTGTGATGACTTTTAATACCACCATACCATAGATTTGAGTAATGTTGTAAATTCCTAAACCGAAAACAATAATTACAGGCAGGGTTCTGCCCTTTTGGGTATTTCTGTTTCCATATATGTGGAACAGAATCAAGCAGACAGGAATCTACACTCTCTTTCTCTCAGCCCTTGCTGCTTTTCAGAAAGAACATACCCAAAATACCAGATAAGAAGGCAGAGACTATGCAGAGAATTTAAAGAGGGGTGAAAACCATATTTTCAGAAAAAATCTGAGGCAAATTTTTACATGAGGCAGAGAAGTGAGATGTTGTTGCAGGAGTAATTCTGGCCAGAAAAACCAGTGTAGAGATGCCTGAGATGTTTCTCGCAGCTCCATGAGACCTCCGTTCACCGTCCCCTCGCGCACTATCCCCTCACTCGCTGTCCCCTCACCACCCCCTCACTCGCTCGCCATCTCCTCACTCACCGTCCCCGCACTCACCATGTCCTCCCGCACCCATCACCTCAGTCCCTGTGCACTCACTCCCATCCCCTTGCTCACGGTCACCTCACTCTCGGCCACCGCAGGGAAGTTTCTTTCATGTTCTCATGGCCACTAGCTGTAAGACTGCCGTTCGCTTACGGTGGCCGCCTCCTGCTACAATCTCTTCCGGGCCTCCACGCAGAGCTCACGGGCTCGCTTATGGCTGACCCGTCATGCCAGATACCCTCACGCAGTCCGACTCCCATCCCCTTGCTCACGGTCACCTCACTCTCGGCCACCGCAGGGAAGTTTCTTTCATGTTCTCATGGCCACTAGCTGTAAGACTGCCGTTCGCTTACGGTGGCCGCCTCCTGCTACAATCTCTTCCGGGCCTCCACGCAGAGCTCACGGGCTCGCTTATGGCTGACCCGTCATGCCAGATACCCTCACGCAGTCCGTCCCTATGGTCCCAGCCTCGTCCCCCCGGCCTAGCCGCCCTGCCGCCTCAGCTCCCATCCCCAAAGTGCCCGTCACCTCAGCGTGGTTCCCCTCCCCCGGCTCCTCACAGCCCTGTCCCCTCGCCTCCTGGTCCACCGCTTCCTCCCAGCTCCCCACAGCACAGGACCGGGGCAGCGGAGCTG